CAGATGTTATTGTGTTTACCCTGATCATCTTATCTTGTCTCTTCCTGTTTTTTACTTTGAGTTTCAGAGCTGCCAGTTTCAAATCTCCCCAGTCATGAGGAACTTAGGAGTCCAAACCAACAAAATCTATCTTTAAAACCTTTAATTAATTTTATTTATTTATTTAAACAATTTATATGACCAACCATCTCATAAAAGTGCCTCTGGACGGCATACAGAGATTAAAACAAAAATCACAAATGAAACCCATGGTGCCCAAGGTTAAAATAATAAACCCCAATCACAAAAAGAAAACCTATCAACAATAGCAGACCTTGCCTAACTTTATGGCCCAAAGGCCTGGGGAAACAGTCAGGTCTTCAGAGCCTTCTGTTCCATAGGGCAGGTGTTGCCACTAAGAAGGCACAACTCTGGCATCCAACAAGATGACACTGTTGGATGGAAGGATCATGGAACACACACTCTGTATTAGATGGGGGGGGGGTGAGCAGCAATAAGAAGTGGTCCCACAAATAGTCTGGCCCTATGCCATGTAGGGCTTTATAGGTGATAACTAGCACCTTGAATCACACTTGAAAGCCTACTGGGTACCAATACAGCATGCAGAGCAATGGTGGTATATGAGCATAACAAGAAATTCCAAAAACTGCTGTGCTGCTCCATTCTGCACCTGAATGCTCTTCAAGGGTAGCCCCATATACAGTGCATTACAGTAATCCAAACAGGAGGTGACTAAGGCATGAGTTGCGATGAGCAAGGCCTCCTAGTCCAGGTATGGGCACAGTTGCTGCACAAGATGAGCCTGTGCAAAGCCCTCCCAAGCCATGGCTGCCACCGGCTCTTTAAGTAGGAGCTGTGAGTCCAGGAGGACTCCCAAATTGCGCACCAATTCTGGTGGCTAGGAAGTGCACCCCTAGGCAGAATTGAAGATGGAAAATCTCTGGAACATGGGGGTCTTAAAAACTGCAGCCACTCAGTCTTCCTGTGCTTGAGTCAACACCTGTTGTCCCCATCCAGATCCTCATAGCCATTGCTTGGTCAGCTCAAGGTGGATATGTACAACTGGGTACCATCAGCACCCTGATACCACATTCTATGCTATTGATAACCTCACCCAGTGGCTTCATGTAGATGTTAAATAGGAGCCAAGAGAGGCAAGAGCCCTGAGGCATCCCTCAAAGCAGGGGACTTGTGCTCGATCTCTCCCCAACCCAACATCAAATAGAACTGGCCCTTGAGAAAGGAGGAGAATCACCATAATATAGTGCCTTCTACTCCTAATCTCCAAAGCTGGCCCAGAAAGATACCATGATCCATAATTTTCCATACAGATTGGGGGAAAAAAATGGGAAAAAATGTGAAATTCTGCTATTTCTACGGAATGAATGTTTGCAGAATCCAGTGGTTCTTACTACCAAGATAGCCAAGCTCTTGGTTTGTCCCCTGGTTGTGTCACACTTGAATTATTGTAGCAGCCTGTTGGTTGGGTTACCAAGACTTCGTTCCATCCTTTGATTCGTGTCCAGAATATTCCTACTCTGGATCTTCCTTACTTTGCCCCTACTTTTAACAATCACAATTGTTAAATTGGAACTTTGAGAAAGATACCACAACAAATTGATGGTGTTGATCCATTGTGCCCTGCATATAGGTACACTGGTTATTTGAAAGCCCTGCTGGTGGCTCTTGTGCTGGTGGTGCCTGTGCATTTGTCCCAGTGTCACTTGAGTCTACTGCATGCTAGAATAGCCACGTTTACACTTAGGAGCTCCATTTCTCTGCAATAGATTCCTGCCAGGATTTCACTGGGAATTTGATTAGAGTACTTAAAGTTTTAAAAAGCCTTAAACTGCTTCTTTTACATTGGCTCCTGTGAAGTTGCTGTGAAATAAATGAATTCTTATTTGTCACTTTGAATGTGTAGAGGTCAATAGTATTATATGTCATGAATGTTTTAGTTTAGAGGGTCCTTATTTTATTTATGTTATAATTGATTGTAATACATTATTGTATCAATTGCTGTTTTAATCTATGCCTGTACTCCACTTAGTTATAAGTGCATAATTAATAAAACTACTACTGTACTACTAAAATAGCATAGGATTGTATCCAGTTATATCCATCTGCTGGTATATTTCTTGTGTACAAAGGCTACCCTTAAAAAAAAACTTGACCTATCAGGGCCTGCAGTGTTATAGTAGGGTCAGCTAGGTGCTGCCACCTGCTGTGGTATTTCACATATCTAGATTATATTACATGTTGAAGGTCTATCAAACTCTTGGTTTGGCTGTCCTAAGCCAGAAGCTTCTACTTTGCCTTTAATTGGAGTCTCCACAAAATCAGTGGGCTCAGGTTTTAAAATGTGTATGATTCTAATGATTTAAAATCTAGGTTAATCCAACAAAAAGTCATTTTTTAGGTTTAATGAACTCCTCAGTAGGATGTTC